CTCTCATACCGATGCCTCTCACACTAACGCCTCTCACACTGACGCCTCTCATACGGACGCGGTATTAAAAAAAATTAAATCAGCGATATTCTGTGTGTATGTTTTTAAAGGCCTTATTTAAACACCAATAGTTCTTGTACTTGCAATTAATTTTCCTCTTAATTAAATATGTCAGAATGCAATTAACTGGCGAATTTAAGTTAAAACACAAAAATAAAATCCAGAATTAACATAGACAAAAATACAACTACATTCTACCCTAACTAAACACGCTTACTTACCACCTGTTGGAAGATAAAGTTTATGAAGTGAACCTTTTCCAAATAATTGTCTACACGATTTTATTTCCTAATTGGTGGTAAGTGTACGTATCTAGTTAAAGTCTCAAGAGTAATTTTTCATTTTGGAAGTTATTTTGGTTCACCGGAAGAATTTCCACTCCAGCATATTTCACCTTAAGATGATCCACCCTAACGCTATTCTTTGGGGGATGAGGTTAGGTTAGGTTAGGCTATTGTTAAGGTAGTTAATCTTTAAGTGAAATAACACTCTTCTAAAACTGACTATACTTAAGTATGAAGACTACGATGAAGGTTTTTTAATACTCGGGTGTTCGTTTATCTAAGAGCGAGGACGACTAAACCAGACACAGAACAAAACCATCAATGTCCCTGTCTGTCCGTCTCTGTAATCAGAAAAGACTGGTGTGTGGCGAGGTTCTAGGTAAGACCCAGTAAGCACTAAAATCCCCCGTGAGAGGCGCTGACGTTACCATAAAGGTTACAGACCGCGATGAAAATGACGCCCCGGCAGGACCTGACAACACGGGTGGGTGTTCCTCGTCACCGTAGTCAGTAGTGTTCCTACCGATCCTCGAAGTATATATTAATCTCATCCGAGTTTGGGTATTATTCTCAAGTATGACTCACTAGAGCAGTGGTTCTTAATCTTTTTAGGGTCGCGCCCCCTATAGAAGTTGGTCCTCTTCTCCACGCCCCCCTCCTTCCTTCATATAAAATTTTAAAACCATGATCATAAACACCACCACCACCACCACATGGCCATAAGCATCACTCAAAGTAGACAACGCGTGATTCTGAGTTGGCAAATTTCATTCTCGTTATTAAAACGAAACAATTAACATTCTTTTCAATTGATATAAGTACTTATCATTATTGTTTGTTCATAAAAAGTCTACCCTACATCATAGCTCAATTGAAGAAAGAAATGCGTGAGTGTGAGAGATAGAAAGTTGTCACGGACGGACGTCGCGGGCGACTGGCACTGGAAATCGTCTCAGTCAGTGTTGACAATTTTTCAAATGTGAATTATCGTACTGGAGCCTCAAAATTATCGTTTCTTCATCAAATTATCGTACACTTACGGACATTATTACTACCTTAATTCAGTCACTTTTAGTGGAATTTTACATTTTGATTGACGTAGTTATCATTTACGACATTTTGAAGTATCTGTGGGGAACGAGAACCCCTCCACCCCCCCTACGAAAATCCAAATAAGATCATACACACACCTGTTTAGGCCATGCCTTATTTTTTGCTCTGGGTACGCGCCCCCCCTGGAAATTACTCAGGCCCCCTTAGGGGGGCGTGCTCCCCCGTTAAGAACCGCTGCAGTAGACACTGGTGGTACTACAATACCAATGTGAATGTATTGTCTCTATGAATTCCAGCTATCATGAAATATCTGTTGAGACTTGGTTCTATTGAAGAGAGATCAACGCGGTCATATATACTGTAGAACTAAGCTATTATTTAATGTTTGTATTGACCTGACGACATATCAGCATCGGGTAGTTCTCTATCACGTCACACTCTCACCTCTAACACAAACGTTCCTATATTGACGAAATGCTCGAAATTAAAAGGCTAATTGTAATGTTTAGATTATTACTCACTGTGCTCCTTGTAACTGTAAGATTGTATTATATTTCTATCGATAAACGAGCGACATAAAAGTGTGGAACAAACCTTATCTCAGACACTAGAATTATTTGGTACTTCAAACCAACAGACTCGTATTAAAGTGTCCAATACGATTAATCTATATTATCTCATTCTTGTTATTAATTCCCTTTTTTGTTTACCCAATTGTCATCTTGCACTTCGAACAATAAATTATTTATTTTCAAGATTCTTACCTATACACTTGTTCTCAAAAGCAATACATGCATTCCATACATATATCCCGTATAATCTTGTATGTAAATAAGCTACCCGGTTGATGGTAAGTTATCAGGTATATTATACAGTATATATTCACCTGTATAATATTATAGTCAGCCATATTTCAGATTTTGCCGGGTAATGGCTGGACGGCTTATCTCCTATTTACATTCATCAATAAATATAATTCACCCTTCAATTATAGGAGAAACAATGGAAAACGTATGAAAAAATAATTAACGGTCGACAGGTTTACGTTTAACAGCTGGGTGGAGGGAGGGAAGCAGCTGTAGTATGACGAGGAGGGTGTGTTGGCGAGTGTGTTCTAGTGTAAGGTGTGTGTATATTGTGCAAGAAAATACGTGAGGTATTAAATGTGCATGTGTGTTAGAGAAAGATAATTTACAATAAAGACAGTGTACATGTTATAAGGAAATAATTGGCACAGTGTCTTAAAAGCATTTCTCATTCAGCTGTCACCTAACATCCACACAGTTCATTATTATTTTTTCGAAAAATTTACATCTATACAAAACATCACACGCGTATTCAGTGTTATTTGTGTGTTTGTGTACCTAACAAAATTAGTTTAACAATTGTCACTGTTTACATAATATACAGCCACTAGAAAATTATGCATAACATATAGTTTGAGAGCGTGATACCAGTTTGTGGTTATAACGATTTTACGGAATACATGTACATCTATCTATCTATCTATTGTAGAGTTGTAAGGATCTGTTGTAGTGTGTTGTGTCTGTTGTAGTATGTCGCAAGTATTTGTTATAGTGTGTTGTAAGTGTCTGTTGTAGTATGTCGCAAGTATTTGTTATAGTGTGTTGTCATAACTGTTGTCATGTGTTGTAAGTGTATGTTGTGGTGTTGTAAATATCCGTTGCTGTGAGTACACTTAAGGTTCTATCCGTTTCACAAAATGTATTGTGATTCATGTGAACCCTGTTTAACTAGCTAGGAAAATAGGTTTATTGTTTCGAAGTATAACTGTCACTCTTAATAGAAGGTGTTCCATAAACAAAGAATCATCAAGAAGTGTTATAAATTCCCCCCTTAGGTCTTAGGTGTTGATACATTGAGTCCTGAGTGACAACACACCTATCACCTGTTTCCCCTAGTGTCTCAGTTATTGAATGTTACCCTGTTCCCCCAGCTATCCTCCTCCCTCCCTCTGCCCTCATATCAGTTACCACAGGCAACCCCCCCCCCTTCGAACACAAGCCAGCCACCTCCCCTCTCTCTCTCTCACAAGTATAAAGTGATCCGACAAAAGAGAATGGGAGTTCAAGATAGTTTCGAAAATCTTAGAGGGATGAAGTTAGGGCAATGGGGCGATAGTTAGAGGGATTAGAATGGTCACCCTTCTTCGAGATGGACTGAACCAAGGCTTCCAAGAAGAAGGAAAAGTTTGGGTTTTGAGGCAGAGACGAAAGAGGCGAGCAAGCACAGGGGCCAGAGCTTCAGCACACTCCCTCAGAACACGAGGGAGTATTCCGTCCGGTCCATGCGCCTTACTCACATCCAACCTGGATAACACACCGGCAACCCTGCGAGTGGAGATTATAGGAAAGTGCATAGGTTCAGTTGGAGGAGCAGGGGTAGGAGGGATAGAGTTGGAATCGTCTAAGGTGGAATTAGAGGAGAATAAGGTGCCAAAAAGATTGGCTTTGTCAGGGGGAGAGTTGGCTATCGAGGTATCAGGTCGGAAGATAGGAGGAAAAGAAGGAGAGCAGAAGTTATTACAGATGTTTTTGGTGAAGGACCAGAAGGATTTACTCGAGGAAGAGTTTGTCAGGACAGCGGTCTTTCTTTTTATAAAATTCTGTTTGGCCCTAGAAGTAGTGAAAGAGGAGTGGGTAATAGGAGAAGGATATAGTTTCATAGCTTGATATGCCCTATCTCTCTCCCTGCATGCAAGAGAGCAGGAGCGATCAAACCATGATTGTAAAGTGAAAGTTTTGGTAGAAGATGGGATAAATGCACTCATACCACCCTGTATAACCTAAGCAATGCTGTCAGCACATACTGAGGCGTCCCGAGAGGAAAAGCAACATTCATCCTAAGGAAAGTCGGTGAAGAATTCTCGCAAGGATTGCCAGCTTGCCCTCCGATAGTGCCATAGTTGACGTTTAGAGGGGGATGGAGGAGGTGGTCGTGCCCAGTTTGATTTAATAGAAATAAGATTGTAATCAGAAGACCCGAAGGTGGCTGAATTTCAGTATGAATAGTGTGAGGGGTTAGAGGTAAAACAAAGATCAAGAATGTTAGCAAGTTGTCCGTGTCGATCAGGAACCCGTGTAGGGTGTTTGATTATTTGTTCCAAATCATTAAGTAAAGAAAACGAGAGTGCCTCAGCTCCACCTAGGTCATCCCTTGCAGAGCCAAACTTACCTTGACGGGCATATATGATCGGTTTAAACATAAATGGATAAAGAGTGGAACAACCTGAAGATTAGGCACCCAAGCTTTATTCACCTCACGATTAAATACACTAACGTTACCTGGGGGTTAGGTTAGGTTAGATTAGATTAACATTAGTGTTTACTCATCAGGTGAAATATGGTAAGGTGTCCAAAGATACAAGAAGAAATAAATCAAAATGTCTTCCTTTGGTGTAGACTCTAGGGTGTGATGGGGAGAGATAAGAAAAAAATAACTTGTTCCCTGTTCTATGTTTTGGTGTTCAACAAAGAATGGTCTGTGTCTACACTCATGTACGTGGGGCGAAAACCCTTTTGTGACCATTTGTCAGACTGCAGTAGCCCCGTGCGAACAATAAACTCGTTTTGGAACACTTACAGCTGGCGACCTCCATGGTGCACACCTGGGAGTCGAGGGGGAAGGCTGACAGCTCCATCATACACGAGAACACCAGCTTCAACCTGCAACACAAGTATTACTGACTAACTCTCATTATAACACCTTTATACGCCTTTAAACCTTACACTTTCATCATAGCCTCCAACACAGTACAGTGCTATTAAGGGAGCAGACAACATTAGCTTTAACCTGCAATACAACACAACCGAGTGGTATTAGTTATTATACAACTTCCATCCAGCATTAAACCTTCCATTATACCTTGAGTTACTGTTGGAGAACCTTTTGAGGTGAATTTACCAACTCGAATTCAAATATCCTATGTCTGAAGGTCCTCATCTTCTCATTCTAATTATTTCACCTAACCCGTTTAGAATAAAATACATATTTGTTAAATGAAAATCGTCTTTACGTTCATAATGTAACAACATCATTTATATTGTAAATCATCATAATAATAACTTTAGTTACCTTTACTAACCATTACCAAGGTCAGGTTCAGTTGGTTAGGATAATTTAGGTGAGGTTAGGTTAGGTTACGTTAAGTTAGGTTAGGTTAGGTTAGGTTAGGTAAGGTAAGGTTAGGTTAGGTAAGGTAAGGTTAGGTTAGGTAAGGAAAGGTAAGGTAAGGTTAAGATTGGATAGGTTAGGGTAGTTTAGGTTAGGTTAGGTTAGGTTAGGTTAGGTTAGGATAAGATAAGTTAGGATTGATGAGGTTAGATATTGTTATTTTAAAGTTCGTTATGTTAGGTTAGGTGATCTGAATCATCCGTTAAAAGTGTCGTTGTAGAAGGTAAGATCGTTAAGACCTCAAGACTATGCATCTCCAGGTGTTCATTACAGGTAACCTTAAGTGATTTGGAAGTACAGCTCATGTCTTCGCAGGTACCTGAACTACCACGTACCACACTTCTTCTAAGTACCTCATCTCCCAGGTAACTCACACCTCCTAGATAACTCGCATTTCCCAAGTATCTCACATTTCCCAAGGGTTGGTTTTCTTTTCTCTTTCATTGTTCTCCTTGTCTTTCAGTAAATGTGCTCTCTCTCTCTCTCTCTCTCTCTCTCTCTCTCTCTCTCTCTCTCTCTCTCTCTCTCTCGTATCCTTGTTTTAACTTAACTCTCACTTTTCTCTCCACCTCCCCCTCCTAGCCAGTAAGTGACCAGTTTATTTCATAAAAGTCAAAACCAATAAAAGCTGGAAGACCGCGACCTGAGAGTAATTAGTCACCTGATGCCTCACCTCTCAACTTGGGCTGGCACCCCCCGCCACCACCACCGTCACCACCACCAATATCACCATCACATCCACCAATATCACCATCGCCACCATAGCCACCACCACAACTACCAACACCATCATCAACACCACCATCACTACTACCACCATCACCATCCACTACCAAAACCACCGCCGCCACCACCACCAGTGTTGTTTAAAGAAAAAATCATTATACCCTTTTTTATTATTTGCTGACATGAAGGTCCTCTGTTTACTAATGAGGTGTGTGTGTGTGTGTGTGTGTGTGTGTGTAAAAATATATTAATATTCTGTTTCACATGCATACCCAAGTTCATAGACAGAACATTAATATATTTTTACACACACACACACACACACACACACACACACACACACACGCACGCACGCACGCACGCACGCACGCACACACCCACCCTCACACACACACACACACAGTTCATAAACAAGGTATTAATATATTTTTACACACACACACACAATCATTATACAGGTATCAAATGTAATATCATATCAACATAGTACCCCTGAGTATGACCCGATAATAGAGATCACATTTCTTTTATATTCACACTCGGGAGTGTTAGTGTGATGCCGGGGTTGTCCTGTAGATAGAATGGCAGGTGATAACCTGAATGTCCGGGATCCAATCAGGCTGGAGGTCGTAATGGAGATATGACAACACAGGAGATGTGAAGGTAAAAGCTCTTCCCACTCACAAACACTGAGTAACGATAGTAATACCTGTTACCATCTCAACCCCCTTTGTCATCACCTGTAACTCCAGGTGATGGTGAGCGTGTGCTAATGAGTTCAAGGAGTGGCTCTCATGCTGCTAAAACCTAACCTAACCTAACTTAACTTAACCTAACCTGACGTAATCATCAAGGTCTATCAAGACTTGCATTACGGGAGCTCTAATATGATATATAGAAAATAAGGAAATTGGCAGCCGTAGAAACATCTACTGCATGTATTAAAGTTCGTACAGGAGCAAATATGATCCTAAGTCTAGCACAAGTAGTCAGGTGAAAGTTGGAAACTGTGTTGAGAGTTTGAAGAACAGTCAAGCATTTCTTGCACTTCGCTGTCACTCGGAGTCACGTTTGATGATCTACCAGTGATGACTCAATGATGCGAATCTTTAGGGGTGTCATCATCGTTAGTTAGTGTGTGTGTGTGTGTGTGTGTGTGTGTGTGTGTGTGTGTGTGTGTGGACTACATCTGGTGCAGGAGGCGTCTTTCCGGGTACACTCAAACATTACTCGGGCATCTGCCCAACCTTTGTTTATCACTCCGTAGTTGGTTGCGTCAATGTTGTTTCTGAGGAACTTATTCCACTCCTCTACAACTCTTATTTTTAAATAAATTTTGAACTATTTCCTTCAGAAAACTGACTGCCAGTGAAATAAGATTAACTGAAGATAAGACCTCTCAGCCTATTTCACCTGAAGATTAAATACCCTAACTCTACCTGAAGGAGTTGGTTAAGTTAGGTTAGGTTAATGTTGAGAAGTTTAATCTCCAGGGAAAACAAGGTCTGGTGATCCATAAGATATGTCAATAACGGCCCATAATTCGCTTATGCTGGTCACCGGCGCCATAAATCAGGTAAATTGAAAGAGAGGCAGTTTTTCTAAATCAGTGTTGTTATGAGGGCAATAAATACTGAACCAGTGAACCACCCCAAATATTTACCTTAATATAAAACTATAACAATAATTGAATATTCAAATATACCTGATCATTATCTGTTTATCGTTATGTTTATTATACACTAAATCTACCAATAATATATTCAAAAGCATTAGTGAGAGAGAGAGAATCATATTCAGAATATTTACTTCAATTATTTAGACGAGCATACATTATTTTTCTGAATACAGTTATGGATATGCAAACAGTTTGGTACGATATCGTCAATACACTATAAGAGTATCACTACAGCTGGACACGATATCATCATCACAGTAGAGCAGGATCATTACAAGTCTGTTATGATACCATCAGTTTAAAACATTAACATCATTATAGCTTGACACCGTATCATATTTTAGAATAAACTCGTCCCCTGTACATCTTCCTGTTATACCAATTCTTTTACATATGAAATACAAATGTAATTAGAAATATCAACAATACATTATGTAAATTCATATGAACAGGACTATTCCAGAACAACAGGATGAACAACAACACTATTCCAGAACTCACCCCAGAACAACAGGATGAACAACGACACTATTCCAGAACTCACCCCAGAACAACAGGATGAACAACAACACTATTCCAGAACTCACCCCAGAACAACAGGATGAACAACAACACTATTCCAGAACTCACCCCAGAACAACAGGATGAACAACAACACTATTCCAGAACTCACCCCAGAACAACAGGATGAACAACAACACTATTCCAGAACTCACCCCAGAACAACAGGATGGGCAACAACACTATTCCCAGAACTCACCCCAGAACAACAGGATGAACAACAACACTATTCCAGAACTCACCCCAGAACAACAGGATGAACAACAACACTATTCCAGAACTCACCCCAGAACAACAGGATGAACAACAACACTATTCCAGAACTCACCCCAGAACAACAGGATGAACAACAACACTATTCCAGAACTCACCCCAGAACAACAGGATGAACAACAACACTATTCCAGAACTCACCCCAGAACAACAGGATGAACAACAACACTATTCCAGAACTCACCCCAGAACAACAGGATAACGACACTATTCCAGAACTCACCCCCAGAACAACAGGATGAACCGCGAGCACTATTCCAAGAACTCACCCCAGAACAACAGGATGAACAACAACACTATTCCCGAACTCACTCCAGAACAACCAGGATGAACAACGACACTATTCCAGGAGCTCACACAGAACAAAAGCAGGATGAACAACAACACTATTCCAGAACTCACCCCAGAACAACAGGATGAACAACGACACTATTCAGGGAGACTCACCCCAGAACAACAGGATGAACAACGACACTATTCAGAACTCACCCCCAGAACAACAGGATGAACAACGACGCTATTTGCAGACTCCCCAGAACAAGCAGTGAACAACGACACTATTCCAGAACTCACCCCAGAACAACAGGATGAACAACAACACTATTCCAGAACTCACCCCAGAACAACAGGATGAACAACAACACTATTCCAGAACTCACCCCAGAACAACAGGATGAACAACGACACTATTCCAGAACTCACCCCAGAACAACAGGATGAACAACGACACTATTCCAGAACTCACCCCAGAACAACAGGATGAACAACAACACTATTCCAGAACTCACCCCAGAACAACAGGATGAACAACGACACTTCTAGAACTCACAGGATAAACAAAGGCACAATTCCAGATCTCACAGGATAAAGGAAGACACTTCCAGAACTAAAGGATGAACATAGTGACAACTTGTCACTTTGTTCATCCTTTAATACATTTGTTCATCCTTTTAGCCTTGTCACTGACAAGACAAACAGTATAAACAAATGTACTATTCAGAACAAATAAGATGAACACTGATACCATTCCAAAACAAAAAATAATAAAGAGACAACACTATTCCAGAGCAGAGAGTCATTACTGTTAGACACTAAGATCAAGAGTTCACCTGCCTAACTATCCCCTAGGTAGCCATTCAACCTCTCCACTACAGCGTCAATGTCTTAACACTAGATACGACTTTAAGGTTCCACTAGACTGTGTGCTATTGAATCTGGGAATGCATGATTATACATCCTAAGTGCATGACACTA